TAAGTTACAACGAAAAGAAAAAGAAAGGGAAGGGGCTCCACTCTGCAGGGCAGGAGGGCAGAAAGAACACCCGGCCCGGCCAACGCCACAGGTGGTCACCCAAAGGCGAGCACAAGGGGAGGGAGGCCTTCAAGTAGGGGCAAAGAGCGAGACGAGGCGCACTCGAGGCGGCGGCAGAGACAGCCGCCAACCCGCCACGCCGCCCACGAGGCGGCACACGAGACGAGGCTCGAGTAGACGAAGAGCGAGACGAGGCTCACTCGAGGCGGCGGCAGAGACGGCCGCCCGCGCGCTACGCCGCCCACGAGGCGGCACACGAGACGAGGCTTGAGTAGACAAAGAGCGAGACGAGGCTCACTCGAGGCGGCGGCAGAGGCAGCCGCCGGCCACGCCACGCCGCCCACGAGGCGGCACACGAGACGAGGCTCGAGTAGACAAAGAGCGAGACGAGGCTCACTCGAGGCGGCAGCAGAGACAGCCGCCCGCCCGCCACGCCGCCCACAAGGCGGCACACGAGACGAGGCTCTAGTAGACGAAGAGCGAGACGAGGCGCACTCGAGGCGGCGGCAGAGACAGCCGCCAACCCGCCACGCCGCCCACGTCGAGGCGGCGGCAGAGACAGCCGCCCGCCACGCCACCCCGCCCGCGAGGCGGCACACGAGACGAGGCTCGAGTAGACGAAGAGCGAGGCGAGGCGCACTCGAGGCGGCCTCGAGGAGACGAAGAGCGAGACGAGGCTCACTCGAGGCGGGAGGCAGAGACAGCCGCCCGCCACGCCACGCCGCCCACGAGGCGGCACACGAGACGAGGCTCGAGTAGACGAAGAGCGAGACGAGGCTCACTCGAGGCGGCGTCGGAGACAGCCGCCCGCCATGCCACGCCGCCCACAGGGCGGCACACGAGACGAGGCTCGAGTAGACGAAGAGCGAGACGAGGCGCACTCGAGGCGGCGGCAGAGACAGCCGCCAACCCGCCACGCCGCCCACGAGGCGGCACACGAGACGAGGCTCGAGTACACGAAGAACGAGACGAGGCTCACTCGAGGCGGCGGCAGAGACAGCCGCCCGCCACGCCACGCCGCCCACAAGGCGGCACACGAGACGAGGCTCTAGTAGACGAAGAGCGAGACGAGGCGCACTCGAGGCGGCGGCAGAGACAGCCGCCAACCCGCCACGCCGCCCACGTCGAGGCGGCGGCAGAGACAGCCGCCCGCCACGCCACCCCGCCCGCGAGGCGGCACACGAGACGAGGCTCGAGTAGACGAAGCGCGAGGCGAGGCGCACTTGAGGCGGCCTCGAGGAGACGAAGAGCGAGACGAGGCTCACTCGAGGCGGGAGGCAGAGACAGCCGCCCGCCACGCCACGCCGCCCACGAGGCGGCACACGAGACGAGGCTCGAGTAGACGATGAGCGAGACGAGGCTCACTCGAGGCGGCGGCAGAGACAGCCGCCCGCCATGCCACGCCGCCCACAGGGCGGCACACGAG